TAAGAACGTGGCCATATATAACTAAAGAGTTAAGATTTGACAAGCATTATTTGTCGGGCATGAGCAGTTGTCTCTGTAGAAGTCAGGTGTTCTGCTCTGCTTCTCTTACCTGTACTCAGTATAGTCAACTGACACATTATTCATCTGTGGGACATAGCAATGTAGTTCAAAAGCATGCAAATGCGAGTAGTTTAATAGGTACCACTTAGATGGGAAAGTAACAGTGTGTGCCTTTGGCATATAGCCATGCTGGCCACATGACCGTAGAAAAAGTCTGCAGGCAATGCTGGCTCCCTCAGCCAAGAAACAGAGATGAGTACCACACCTTAGAATCTGACAGCTGGATAGGGAAAGCTTTACCTTTTTAAGTAGCTTTACTTCTTCCCAGTAGACCTTACAAATTGGTGGGTCGGGTCAGCTCTTGTGTGATTCTACAAGATTCAGTTGTCTCATTCCCCACTCTTTAACATTATATGAAGCCTCATGGGACGAGGTATCATCATCTGGGTAAATCCAAAAGTATCACGGAAAACTTGGCCCAATGCCTGAAGGTTGAAGATGTTTGGATGGGATAAAAGAGGTTAACAATCTTGATCCAGAAAATACCTAACACTTGTTTTAACTCCCACTGAAGGAGCAAGTCCATATCTTGGGAAGTCTCCTAGATTCACATGCGGAGACTATGACAAGGGTCGCCGTTGCCATGTTTCAGTTGATGCACAGTTGTGGCTGTGTCTGGGACAGGAAACCGTAGCCCCAAGATATGGTCTCCTCAATCACAGAGTACCATAATATAATTTACAGAGGGCTGCCTTTGCTCAAAAACTGCAATGGCAGCAAAATACATCACTCTCTATTCTGCCAGGTATTACACAATCATATTACACTGCAGTGGCTTCCAAAACATTTCTAAGCAAAGTGCTGGTTGTAACCTACAAAGTCCTACATGGATTGACATACAGCTATCTTCAGAACCACCTCCTGCAGGTGGCACCTGCCCATTCTGTCCTACATGGGGGTGCTCATTGTTCCCACAAAAGGTGAAGAGAAGGTTGAGAAGAATGGGGAGCACATGTTTTCTCTGTGTTGGTTCCCAGCCTACAAAACAGCTCTGCTTCAAGAGGACTAGAAAGCCACCTGCCTTGGCGTCTGAAGGCAGCTAAACTGGAACTTTTGCAGAGTCTCTTTAAATTATAATCTGAATAGCTGTATAGACCAGGGATTAGATTAGATTTATTATTATAATTTAGGGTTTCTTGAACTATGAACTGGTTGTTTCAAATCAGGAGACGGAAGGATGAGTTCAGAGGCTCTGCTGGTGCAGCACAGAAGGAAGCACTGAGCAGAATTTAATGAGGACTTCAACTGCTTAAAAAAGAGCTTTGGTTCCCATTTTAAATTTTTGTTCTTAAGGTTAATAGGCAGGCTGAGAACTCTGTTAGCGTTTAACCCCGCCCCTACCTCCCCCCCAAAAGGGAAAAGTAGTGTTGGAAAGTCTACTATGTGAGTAACAACATATCATTTAGCACTATTATTGTGCATTTCTTCCAAATGTTATTGTAGGAGACAACGATCCAAGTTTCCCCTTTAGTTATTACCGTAGATATAACATCTTTACATAGTTGTTTAGGGTCTCTTGCTTGAGCAGGGGGTCAGACTAGAAAACTTCTGAGGTCCCTTTTGACCCTATCATTCTATGTTTTATGTCAGTGGTTCTCAACCTGTGATCTGAGGAACCTTGGAGAGGGCCGTGATGTAGTCCCAGAGAGTCTGCGAAGGCTTGAAGAAATGTTATGATTTAAATCTTGAGTTATGTATTGGGCATCAATAGCCATGATTTGTAACCACAAAAAGTATTTAAAGGGGGGGGGTCTGTGGTGAAGAGAAGGCTGAGTGCCACTGTTCTATGTTGTTTTCATTGCCTTGGTTTTGGGGGGGGGGAGAAATCAGACATAAAATTCCAAAGCAACCAGTTAAAATTCAACATTACTCTTAACATCCACCATGCATTCACTTTCAGATAGAACCTTATATAAACATTCGGGGGGGAGTCAATACCAGAATAAATTTACACATCACATTTAAGGGCGACTACAGCTTTTCATCTGCCTTCCTAGGTTGCCTTGTGAATGGAAGGCAAAGCTGAGGCGAGTTTGAGGTCTTCAGCACGCTGTGTCCGCATGATAACAGCTCTTAGTTTTGATCCCAGCAATAATAAAAGTATGGAGGAGAATGAGATGGTCTCTGCTAAGGCAGCACAAGTTCCAGATAAAAATCCCTGGGGAAACACGGGGGGAGAGGGGGAAAGCTCAGAGGATCAGATCCCTGTCACTTTCCAATTGCGGTCACCGGTTCATTAATGGGCATTGCCTTGCGAGAGAGCCTGTTGCCTGCCAGGCAGCCAGCTGGCCCTCAATCCTTCTGCCTTCTCCCATCTCCCCCCCCCCACGTACACACACTCCCGTTGTCTAGACTTTAAGACCGATTTCTGCCTTGCCGGATTCCAAAGTGAGCCCAGATAGAAATCGGTGGGGCCAATTAGTTCCAGCGGGAGGAACCTGGCTGCCAATCTGCTCTCTGAGCATTCTGCGGGTTTGTGAGCCTCTTGCTCAAGATCAGTCAAGAAAAGTTCCCCCATGGCCTGTTGTTTTATTTTCTTTTTCTTTTCTTTTGCTACAGCAGCCCTCAACTGCCTGAGAGCCCTTCTCTGTTTTCTCTTTTGAGACTCCGGACTGAGAACATCCAGTAATTTGCTTCCCCTCTCTTAACCTTCTTTTAAAGACTTTTAAAGGAAAGAAGAAAAAAGGAACAGTGAAACATTAAAAGGAGAATACTTGTAGCTGAGAGTTGAAACGTGGGGGGGTCGGTGGTGCTCTCTTGAGTTTGGTTGTTTTCTTGCAGATGTTTCATTACCCAAACTAGGTAACTGTGCTAGGTAAACAACATCTGTGTTGCAGGAAACAATCAAGCAAGGAAAAAAAACAACCAAGTCCAGAAAGTAGCAAGGACCCCTCACTGGAACATTTGATTATCAGCAACTTGTGAAACACAAGCACCCCTACTTCCTGCATTTTTATCAGAATATCCCCATCACACTCTTCTTTTATTTCATTGGATTCAGTCCTAGTACTGAGTCCCACAAACTGCAACTTTTTATCCCCATGCAAACTATCCCGGTTTAAAATAACCAGATTATCTCGAGACAGAAAAGTCCTGCCCTATTTCTGGAAACAGCATATTTGAGCCTTTTAGAGGAACATTAATCCTACAAGTTTAAGCCATTTTAATTTCTATTAACTTTCTCCCTTGCAGACACACCCAGTCTTTCCATGGCATTGGCTGCCATCAAAGCAATAACAAAATGGGCATCATCCCATTCCCAGCCCTGAAGCATCAGCTACCCCTGGATGTGCTATACAAACAGCTACAACTCTGAGAGGCTGGTCCAGGTCCAGGTCTGACCAAGGTGACTTCTGTGACACTCATGCTGATGTCTTCAGAAATAACCATGGTCATAAAAATGCTAAAGAAGCACAGCACTCCAAATCCTCTCTGTGCCTCCTCATCTATGTGGTCTATCTACTGTACATGGTTATCAAAAGTTGACATCCACTTGATGGCACACTATCTCTCAATGAATCAAATCCCCCTTAGTGGAAGCTTGTAAAACCTGTAATGCACCCCAAAAAATGATAGAAATAGCAACGTTACCTAGCTCTTTGGCCCAGCTTTTCTGAAGTGCAGGATCAGCACCGTTTCAAAAGAACACATGTATTTGAAAAACAGGTTTGGTGCTCTTTTAAAAGAGCACTAAACCATTTTTTTTTTTTAAAGGACAAGTGGTTTGAGAAGTGCTGATCGGGCATAATGTGGGCAAATGCCTTCATTCTGGTCCCTCCTAGGGCCCAAGCCAAAAAGATCTTGAAAGGCAGAGCCCACCAACCTCAGGAAAGGTGAGCAGATAATAGGAGCAGCAGCCTAAAGTGACCAATAGGAGCCAGGCAGAGCCAACCTTTGATGAAGTCAGCAAGTGAAGACTCAAACCATAGCTAGCATATCAGGAAAAGAGGGGGGAAACCTTACATTAAATATTCTAAGTCTTACAGTCCCCGGATAACTGTAGGCTGCTTCAGCTACAGGTTGGGATAAAGATGGAGCGTTCAAGGCGTGGATGGAGACATTGTGCAGAAACGAAATGAGAAAAATGGTTTGACTCAATAGAAGGTGGCTTCAAAGCAAGCTTAATATATAGATTAATTCGTATAAAAAGAGCAGGCGACGAGCAGGTCTGGACAACGCGTTCGCCTCCACGGAAGCCAAAACAGGCTCGTTTCCTCACTTCCTTGGCTGTTGAGGTGAGTCGCCCCTAGATCAAGAGCAGCAATGTTATCCTGCTATTTTTCTGTCCCTTATCAGATTCATTTGGGAGAGTAACGGGGAAAATCCACGTAAGAGGACACTTTTAGCCAGACATGGAGGTATATATAAATCGGATCGTCTAGCCGGCGCCTCGCCCGCCTCTATTTGTTATCTGGGAACTAGCCGCCTAATCTGAGCTTCTCCGTGGCTGTACAAAAGCGCAGCTCGCCGGTGATTCACACACAGCTCTATCACTGATAATAGGTTGCGCTCTAGTCGGGTGTCGACGCAACAACCCGGGCAATGGATTCAAACTTCGCCGCTTTTCTGCTTCTCACGCTGCCCGGCTCTCCGCACATCTCCTCGGGTCCCCCAATTTACCAGACAGCGAACTTAAAACGACGCGCATAAAACATCGCCCCCCCCTCCCCACGTTACTGTGGATTTCACGTTACTCCCTGCACCGACGTGCACCAACGCAACTCCTAGCCAACCGAGAGACTCGTTAAAAAAAAGGACTGCCAAGGGAGTGAAGCAGATCGGGAGGCGGCTGGGGGGGGGGGAGAGAGAGAAGTACGGAGAAGCGGCATTGGGAGTCCGCGCAGCCCACGATTTCTCTCCGACTGGGAGAAGAATGATTCAGGCTACGAATGAAAGAAAAGTGACGCTTTTCTCGCCCCCTCCCCTCCGGTTTATCCTCCTGCGTTTTAAAGTCACCTCTTCTCGCCAGCAACCCTTTGGCACGGCTGACGCGCAGAGACCCTCCGACTAAGCTAACAGTGGCGCCTCCTCCTTAGCGTGAAGGCTTTCGACCGGGTGAGAACTGGAAGTTCATTCTTCAAGAACTGGGGAGAGGGGGAGAAAGAGAGGGGGGGGATCATTGCTGCTGCGTGGGAAGGACACGCCTTCCTTCCTTGCCATTTGCCCTCCGAGGTGTTGATTTGATCCAGTTTTGGAGTGTTTTGCTGCGCGCCTTCCTCCCCCCCTCCCCTCCCGGGCGCATCCAGGGTGACACACGGTCCTGCTAGGAATGGACGGCGGGAGCTGTGCGACGCGCGTCTCCGGAGGAGGCTGGCTAGAAAGAGGGTTGGCTCGTCCAAACCGTCGGACCTGTTTTTTTCCTCCACCCCACGGCGGTTAAGACCTCCCTCCGTCCCTCCCTCCTGCCACCCGGGCGAGGTGCTCGATGCCCCTCTTTTGCCTCGAACTTGCTGCCATCAATAATTCATCGGCTCCCGGTAGTAGCGGCGGCGGCGAGCAAGAGAGCAACAGCAGCAGCAGCTTCGATAAGAGAGAGCGGGAGGCAGCAGGGCGGGGAGGAAAAAGCTGGTGCGTGAGCCGTGCTTGCCGGCTGCCTGCAGAGAGGAGGCGGCGGTGACAGCGGCGGCCGCTGTGGCGGTAGCAGCCAGAGCAACGGCGGCGGCGCATTCGGAGCTCTCCCTTCTCGCCACAGCCGTACCCAGCATTATGTTCCCGCAACGCGCGGCGGCCGCCTCGCCGGCAAGAGCCGCCGACGCCGAGGAGGACACGGGAGGATGAGGATAGAAGGGAGGAGGAGGAGGAGGCGCAGGCGGAGGGAGGCGGAGGAGGCGAGGCAGGGAGGAGGAGGAGGAGGCGCAGGCAGCGGAGGAGACGCGGAGGATGAAGTGGAGTGTCCGGGGAGCCTGCGCCGCGCTCTCCAGCTGCCTCCTGCTCGCCTGCGCGCTGAGCGCCGCCGCCGTGGGCCTCAAGTGCTTCTCGCTGGGCTCCGAACTCAAGGGGGAGCCGTTCCGCCTGGGCACAGCAGCCGGCGCCTTCTACTCGGGGCTCCTGCTGGCCGCCGGGCTCTCGCTCCTGGGCTCCGCGCTCTTCTGCTGCCGCCCGCTGGACGACGAGGGGGCCGGCGGAGAGCACCGCCAAGGGCACGCGGCGAGCGAAGTCGCGGTGGTGCCGGTCGCGGGAGACGCTCAACCCCAGCCCCAGTCGCTGCCCAAGGCGCCCCCCGGCGGGCGGCAGAACTTCCTTCTGCTGGGGGTCCTTGTCTTCATGCTGGGGGTGCTGAGCGCCTTCGCCGGGGCCGTCATCGACGGCGATACGGTGTCGCTGGTGGAGAAGAAGTACTCGCACTACTGCCTCCTACAGGTTGGGGGAGGAGGAGGAGGAGGGCCGTCGGCTCGGGCGCGGCCTGCGGGAAGCCCCGACGGCTCGGGCACGACGCTGCTGCTGCGCTGCCAGAAGCTGCGGGACTATCAGCGCGGCTTGGTCATCTCCACCATCTTCAACGCCCTCGAGTGCCTGCTGGGGCTGCTCAACCTGGTCTTGGTCAAGAACTACAAAGCGGCGCAGCAGCGAGGGCTGCGCCGACGGCGGCGCTGCCGACAGGAGCAGCGCCTTGCGGGCGGCCGTCGGAGGCGACGGAGGGGGGCCGGCGGCAGGGGAAGTGGCTCTGGCGGCGGGCGGCGGCCTCAGCGCCAAAGTCAAGGCTCGATCTTCTCCAGCGAGGACCCGGATCTGTCCCCGGGGGGCGATTGCGCCTTCCAGGCTGTCTCCTACATCAACGTCGGCGTCTTCCACGTCTTCGACGAGGCCGGGGTGGAGGTACACTGTGGCGGGCACCCTTCCATCGAGTTGCCTGGGTATTCGCCCATGGACCCCGAGCTTAATTCCTCCTACCCCTACTGCTACCCGCTGCCCAATGAGCAGCCTCCTGCCTACGAAGACATTTATCCCAGGGAGCTCTGTGCCAACCGCGTCTAGGCCCCGGCCAGGCCCCTTTGGAGACCGACCGCCCTGCCTGTCAGCCTGCTGGACTGAGAGGGGCAGAAGATGAATTTGGGCAAAGGGGGCAAAGCACAGAGGTTTAATGGGCAGGACCAGTAGCACAAGGTGAGGCCAACCCTGCTGTTTGCCAGGACTCTTACCCAGAAGCTGCCAAAAAAAAAAAAAAAAAAACAACCCAAGGTAGAACCCCAATAAATGCCTAGAAATGAGACCAGGCTGGTGTGTAGTGTTGGTCCTGCTTTTGGTGGCAAGTGGGAACCTATTGGTCCAAACAGCTTTGCCTTCCTTTTTTCCTGAAGAATCAGACATATTTTTCTCTTCACCTCTGGTGGGAGAAGTCTTGAACAGAGTTTTAGAAAGTTGCTAGTGTTTTGCAACCTGTTGGAGTTTTCTCCAATATATCCTGTCAAGATTTCTCTTTCTCTGCTACAGTACTTTTGGTTCTAGCACTAAAAACAAAAACAAAAAAATAACATAGCTACCTGTTAAAGGGTTTAGCAAAGTGCATTTTCACCGATAAAGATAATTGGGGCAATCTTGGGGTGATGCTTTTAATATCTTTTTAATTTTACCCTTACTGTCTTTTATCTCTTGAGTATGGTGAACATTTTAGGGTTGGTTCTCACCCCTTTTCTCATTTGTTTGGATTGAAATCACCAAATGGTTCAGCCTGCCTGGCTTCCTCACCCTTCCCTGCATCAAATGAATCTTCATGATAACCTCAGCTTTAAAAGTGCAAAAGAGTTAAGTTCAGAGAACCAGCCAGCAAGAGATAGAGAGAGGGGGAAAAAAGCAAGCATGAATCTCTCAAAGAGATATTTCAGAGAGCTGAAAGGAATTTTGAACAAAGCTTAAGTTTACAATATTCCTGGGAGATGTTATGTTCAGTTTAAATCTTAGAGTATAAAACCATAGTTGGTCTTGTAAGATGCACATAAATCTGCACTTTCAAAAGAAGAAAAAAAAATCAACATTTTTGTACACTAATGTGCCTGCTTTTTGTTGATAATTTCTTACTGTAAGAGCTTTCAAAAAGTCTATAGTGAAAATGTTTGGTAAAGTCATTGCAATGTAAAATTAAGAAAACCAATTCCTTAACTAAAACAGAAATGCTGTATGGAATTGAAGAAAGTCCGAATATCTCATACATTCCTTTTGTAAATTGATTCGTGTTTTTAATGCAAAGCAGGGCTTATATTTATTTTACTTTTATTTTAAAGCAGTGGTTCTCAACCTTTTTAATGCCGCGACCCCCCAACCGGTCGTAAGTCGAGGACTACTCAACCAGTCGTAAGTCGAGGACTACTCAACTGGTGCAGCACCGTTTGCAGAATGGGACTTTTGGTGGGCTCAGCAGGGCAGAGACAGCCTGGACAATTCCTATTGGTTTTTGAAAGCCAAAAGAATTAGACTCTATTCAAGAGAGTCTATTCTATTGGCTTTCAAAAGCCAATAGAATAAAAGGGAGTAGCACAGCTAAGGAAAAGGGGGAAAAAAATGGCGGACTACGTTGTTTGGCAACCCCCGTGAAATGGTCGTTCGACCCCAAATGGGGTCTTGACCCACAGGTTGAGAACCACTGTTTTAAAGGTTTAACTCTTACTTTCTAAAGGTACAGCCAGTCATTCTTACAAAGTATTTTAATGATAGCCTTACCAACTGGTCAGTTTGAGAAGCTTGAAGATTGTACAAACACACAATACACTTATGTCAGGCAGCCATTATTGAGGGTTACAGTGTTCAATGTACTTGCCCAAATTCATTTGAAATGTATTTTAGAAATCATGTCCATTTAAATGGAAAAGACTCAACAGGTGAAGGCTGAGTAATACTAAAAAAAACTTTTTCATCTAGATTCCTTTAATTGTTGAACAAAAAAAACACTACATCTGAAATCATATTTCTCTTTGTTTCTTTTTATTCTTCACTTAATAAGTGCAAATTTCTTCAAATTTCTTTGGAAAAATAGTGCTGTGGGATAGGACATAGTCCCTCCCTCCCTTCCTTCCTTCCTTCCTTCTTTCCTTCCTTCCTTCCTTCCTTCCTTCCTTCCTTCCTTCCTTCCTTCCTTCCTTCCTTCCTTCCTTCCTTTTATCCTATCTTAATCTTACCCTGGAATTGGTAGATAGTCTTATTGGGGATGGAGAAGAGAGATTATTATTTTGCCCTCTATGTGAATTAAAATCAGATGGAGAAAATTTTAGAGAAATTTGAGAGGAATTGGTAGAACATGCACACAACATCATGTTCCAATCAAATTCTGATCCCATCTCAAATTATGTACTTGTTTTTAAATAGAAGAAACATTGTGAGATCTGATCAAAGATTGCCTGCATTATGTATACTTTACAGTTGGGAAATTAAATTCCATTAGAATACTGGCATAAAAAATTATTATGTAGAAGAATTAAAGAAAGGTCTTTAATTCACCCAGTACACCAAGCTCATTTAGAAGCTTGGCTGTTCATTAATGTCCTTAAAACAAGGATCTTTTTTTCCTTATATTATTTTGTAAACTGCTATGTATATTGAAGGAACTGTATAAACGATAGCAAGAATTCATATTGGAACTGTTATGGAATGCATACATTACCAATAGGGAAAATTAAAGGACAATAATTTTGTCCTGTTTTTGCAATGTACAGATTGATTTTTTTTAATTAAGGAGCTGAACAAAATAAATGTTCAGCCTTACATTTAAAAAAAAATCAACCTAACAGCAGTGAAATCTCTCTGCAGTATTTTGTTGTCTGAAATTGTTTTAACTTGCACACTTTATATAACTTAAAATGCATAATGCCTTAGAACACTTAAAAACAAATTTAAACCTATATCTTAAAAATATTAAAATCCTTATCTAGATAGCTGAATCAAGAGCATTTAGTCTACTTTGCTAAATAATTGCAAAATTTTAGAAGACTCTAGCTATTATTAAATAAGATTGTCCTCCTTTGCAGAGAATAAGCACAACGCTAACTTAAGATCTACTTGAAATCAGTACACATCATTTTATATATATCTAAATCATTATGAATTCTGCCTTGAGTTCGGACTTTGAATCCTATCTGCAAAGAATGTCTCTGGCTCATAGCTCATGAAATGAACAGAAATTATGGAACAGAATGGCAATATTGTAGCACATCTCCCATTCATTTCATTTGGTCTTTCAGAAAAGATGTTTTTAGGGAATTACATCCCTACAGCATTTACTCAGGAAGGACTTTGAGTGTGCATGTAAGGCCAAAAAGAAAATGGTGCCAAAGCTAAAATTTGAAATATCAAGCTCAAAAAAACTCTCCTTTTTAAAAACTCTTACTATTCTACAGTACTGTATTTGTGGTTCAGTAGAATGAGATCCAGTCTAGATAATACTACATAACTAAAATTGTCCCTGGGCTGTATCATTTTAGATTGTGGATAGGAATGCACACTTCATTGATGTGTTGATATATCTTCCTCAAAATTCCCACGTGTACTAAATATAATGCTGGAGAAACAATTTTCACCTAGCCTTTCGTTTGTTGCGCTGATTTTCTATATATAAGTAGAGAAATTTGCTTTTGGTACCTTGGGGGCACTATTCAAATATATATACATCTTGTATTTGAGGATGGTGCTTTGCAACATGCTAGCTTTCTTTTCATCCCCCCCCCCCCCCGGTTCAGCTTGTTTTACAGTAAAAACATAGGAAAGGGCATGATGGGCACCTAGGAATGTTGAAGACAGTGGTTCCTTGGACCAGCCAAGTGAAATGGCACAATCCAGGCAGATGTTTAGCAATTCACGTCATATTTATAAAAACTAAATCTAAACTTCATAGAAAAGTGTTTAGTAAGTATGAGTGCTAGGGACTTATTAAGCAAGCTTTGAAAAATCCACTCCAGTTTTTTAAAATGTTACATAAAAGAGGGCTTATTTTAGATCAAAACGTAGGCTTGAAATATAGTGCCTTAGGTAAAAATTGATTAGGAGCCCATTGTTTTAATGGGGTTTTGAAACACTGAATCTTTTGACTTGGAGATTCTGGAGAACTCACTCAAAGTCAGAAAAGTTTTCCCAGAAACTTAAAGATCATATAACATAGGAATATTGCTCATAACCCCATTGTTGTCTCTGTTGTCATAGGGTTTGAGTTTTAGTTAAAAGCAACCCAGTCTGGTTGACAGTGAAATATTTTGTGCCTAGCAGCATGAGCAAAAATGTCTCTAAAGTTTTGGTAAGGGAGAGAAAAGTTGTTTATCTATCTATTGTTTGAACTAAACTTTGATGTAACGAAAACAGCAGAATTTTCTCATATTTAGATCATGAATGAATGGAGAGCAGGTTTGCTTCAGGAATGAAATAAGTCTAATATAGATCCAAATGCGATGGAAATACTTTTTTAAAAAAAACTTTACTAAACGGTGATGCCATTCTTATCTAATTTGGTAGAGAACGGAGGATAATTTAGTTTACAACAGACTTATCCATGTTTCTCTTTATGGTCTGCACAATGCATATAGAACATTTGCTGGAAGTTAACGATGCTCTTGAAAAGAAACTGCCCCAAATATCTGATTAATGTCATTTTTTAACCTTAGTATTATATTAGTTTGGTTAACTTGAATAAGAGTGACATTTCTAGAATGCTACCCAAGAAAGGATAGGGGAAGAATAGGGGATACAGTCTTCCTCAGAGATCACTATATTATTTCTAAAGAGTCAGTTTGGTGTAATGTTTAATGGATCAGGCTAGAAAATGGGAGACTGTGAGTTCTATTCGTAACTTGGGCACAAAACCAGCTGGGTGACCTTGGGCTAGTGACTTTTTCTCAGCCTCAGGAAGGGGGCAGTGGCAAACCAAAAAAAGTTTGTGGAGAAAACTGCAGGGACCTATCCAGGCAACCTCCCTCCCCCCCATTCTTTTTTCTTTAGGTTCTTTGCTTTGGATCATTTGCTAGCTTTAGCTTATTGCAAACAACTATTGTAAAGCATGTCACACATCCAACCCTTGCCCTCAATCTTATAGCAAAATTTCAGATGGCAGTTTGGAAAAAACCGATAGACCAGAACAAATAATGCTATAGATAGACATAATTCCTTCACTTGTAGAATAACAAAAATAAGGCTTGAATTTAGTCTGTAGACTTAATTCAATATTATTGTTCATAATTTGAACAGATTTTATGCCGTTTTCCCCATTTTTATCTAATGCTAGATTTGTAAATGTATGCAATATTTGTTTGAAGAGAGTTCACTAAATAATCTTAAGAACCCTATATTTTATAAACAACCCTCTATTAAAGATATTGTTTAGTTCTGTTTATTATTTGGGACCTAGCCATTATAATTCCACCAAGTATGTCCCAGTATGAAGCTGCTTACATTCATACCTTCACTGGAGTAAGTGATAAATCACAGACATAATCTATTGAGACATTCTTTTACCAAAGAAAAAATGAAGAGGAGCTGATCATAAGCATTCCTCCATTTATTCAAATAGCATATTCTGGTTGATTGTGGAATATTTATGATTTTGAATTTAGCACCAGAGCAAAGTTGATTCCTTTCAGAAACATTAAAATCTCATAGTTAATACTGCATGTCCTTTGTGCATAAAGACTCCATTTATTACTGAAATTTCAATTCACAGAAGAAAGACAGGAAGGTTATGTTTGTGTTTTACAATTGCTGAATTGCACAGCTTTCTTTGAACATATTAGGAGCAATTCAACAAAGTTTAAATATAACCCCTACCCACCAAATCAACAAAAATGGGATTTTTAATATAGATAAAAGCAGATTTTCCCATTTTAGTCACATAGTTAAATAAAAACTAGCCTTGTAATAAAAGAAACCATGCCTCTGTTTCCTTTTAATTTTATCAGATCCTTATATAGGCTGGCTACTTTAGGGATCAAATTTAATTATTTTAAAGTTCCAAAGATCCATGCTCAGGGAAAAAAGATGGGTAG